GCAGCCTGTGCCATTGCAGGCGACTCACAGCAGCCCAGCTCCAGGTTGAGCTGTTGTTCAGCATCTTAGCTGTGGAGGGCAGTGTTACTGGCCCTCATATGTGGGATCCGAACCGGGGCCTTCTGGCATCCCAAGCCAGTTCTTAACCATTGCGCCAGTCGGCCGGCCCCAATAAGCTTATATTTCTGGTCAAGCAGGCAGATACTTTATGGATCAGTAAGGCTTGAAATGGCTCCTCTGGTTGACTAATACGTTTACTTTATTAATAAATATAATATTTACTTATATGAAATAATCCATCTTTGTCCCTTCAGAAATGTTTTACAAATTCATTTTCTTGAACAAAGCCTCGGGTTCCCGGTGTGTTTTCTTGCTGTCCAATCACAGTAGAGTCATTTATATCTTTGTGTGGCTGCAGGCTTCCTACGTGGAGTCCCAGGCACCCAAAGGCTCTTTTCTCTTTGCTCTTCCTTTTAAAAAATTTGTATTGGATTCCCCCAAGAAATTTTCTCTGTTGGCAAAGGCTTGAATGTTATGTCTTACACACTCAGTTTTTATAGGGTCCTAACACTTCCTCAGCCGTTTTCCTGCTGTGTCATGCAGAACTGATATCTCTGCTCTGTGCCATTTCCTGCCAGGCATTGGAGGCAACTTGGAAAAGTGATTTTTAAATGAGACTGAGAGTCAAGACTCCCGAGTACCTATCTTAGTTCATCTCATGAATGACTGTGAGATTTTGTGCCAATCAGTCTTCCTATTTCTTGGTCTCTTCACCTGTAAGAAGGGAACCTGCAGCTTAGTCTTCTCAGGGCACCACACTTCTGTTCATCGTCCTAGATTCTACCTCAAAAAAAATTTAGGCCTGGAAGACCTACATTGTCAATTATAATAATTGTAAATGTTTAAGAATAATGGCCTAAAAACCAAAATGGTTCTCATCATTGTAAATCTAACACAAGTACATATATATTTCCAGAAAACATAGTTCCTATCATGTTTATTTCTTTTTTGAGTAAAATGAACCACCCTTTCCTATTAGCCTAGAGTATATAATTTTATCCTGGCAAAAAAGGACTGCTGCCTGCTCAGTTGTCTGTATTCATTTATTCCATCTTTTAATGTTTTGAGGGCTCCAGCTCTGTATCAGGTACTCTAGAGATGTAAACAGTAGACAAGACCAATATTCTTGTCTACTATCTGAGGGACTTGGAGAGCCCCATAGACAGGAGAACGCCCCAGCTCCCTGCCCCCACTCTTCAGCCAGAAGGAAGCATCCACTAATGCTTAGGAGGAACCAAGCCCTAGGCCCAGAACCATTCCAGGAAAACGAATAATAATCAACATTTATTAAGCACTTACCATGCATCAAGGACTGGATTAAGTACTTTATCTACATTATCTCACTGACTTACTAAAATAGCTCAATGAGGTCGATAGTATTATTACAGGTAAGGGAACCAAAGTACAGAAATATTACATACTTGCCCCATGGTGGCCCAGCTAGACAGTGGCAGAACCAGGATTCGCACCAGACAGCCTTTCTTCAGGGCCCATACTGGGCTCTGCTTAGGGCCCCGGCTGGGAAAGAACCCCCAGGACACCAACTGCACGTGCTACAGGCTTCTCCTAACTTTTTTATAAACTCTACTACCTGGCAAAGAGTAAGAAGAACTTTTGATTCATCGCCTGGAATGGATACTGCCAAGCTAAGTTTCAAAGCAGATACCTTAACTCTCCCTCTGAAAATGGACAATTGCCAGCAGTTTCTGTTACACCATGAGAGTAGCTGATCTCATACTCCAAGCTCATGGAATAACCCTTACTCCAACATGAAATTTTCTAAACTGTGTATTTCAAGGAACATCAGTTCAAGATTTCTTAATAAGTGTTCTACCGAAAAGATTCCATGGGAGTAATAAATTGGGGAAGCCACATTCTCCTCTCCGTAAGATTCATAATAGTTATGAGTATATGAGTGGTTCTGTAAAGTCCTACAATTGCTTCTTACTGTAAGCTTTACCTGAGTTGCTTCATTTAACCTACTTTCCCAAATATATACTGACATCTTTAGAAACTAGTATCTCAAGGAGCAAGTTGGAGAAACGCTGCTCTAAAATGAGGCTTAGTCCCAGAGAAAGATTTAGACTGCTAATGATAAGCCTATTTTAGTCCAACTTAAATGTATAAAAAATTGCTTTTATTAAAAACCTTTTTAAAAAGATGTATAAATACCTATTGGACCTATAAAAGCAGTTTCTGAGCAAGGTACACAGTCATGCTAAACCAGGTCGGTGGTAGATTGTTACATTAGTGGATTAGGAAATAAAGACACTGGTTTGGTGTATCAGGATGAAAGCCATGTGGGGTGAGGTCCTATGAGCCAATGGGGACTGGTTGAACCATCCACGATTATCTCTCTTACTGTTAGCCAAGCCAGTAGCACACTTGATGTTTCAGTGCCCCCTGGGGGCCATCAAAATATCGCACAGGAATCACAACATTAAATGGATGATGCAAAATTATGAATACTCAAGGCAGGTAGGAAGAAGGTAGAGAGAGATCTGTAGAGCAGGATCTGAAAAAATAAATAAAATCGTCTAGAAAACAAACAAAAGATGTAAATCTTTCTGGCCTCTAGGACTTTGGTAACATACAAACGAACCTAAAAAAAAAAAAAACCTATTGGTATGATCCAAAGAAAAGATGACACATTTACGTAAAGGATTAACAAAAAAGAAAAGATAGTGCTAAAAACAATGGGTCTGATGAAGAGAAGAGAACACTGTTAAGTAGGCGATGACTGGGGTATAAACTAGGGTAAAAGTTTTAAGGATGAAGAGCAGTAAGAAATAATCAGTTTTCCTATTGGAAAGATGAGTTTTTAAAAATGGCATTTCAACCATGGAAGAGCTTGCACTAAAAAACGAACAAACATACCAAACTCTGTTCCTTTGCGTTCCGGTGAGGCCTTCAGTAAAGGCTGTCTGTCATGTAGACACTGGGAGGGTGAGATGAGATAAGGGATTAACAGACCTCCAGGCACACATTCTCATGAGTGAAGTCTCCATATTTTACAGGATTTGTACCTTGTTTGCAGAATGATTATAACCAAAAAACATCTTGGTTTCAGGCTTATGGGGGATGCTTCATAGTAACAGAGACTGCATTCTTTAGACAGGAGGTAGAAAATAGAATGAGGATTATTTCTTGTACAAAGCACCTAATCTAAGTAGAGCCTTTTCTCTATTTGCCCTTAGTTATACCCATGGGATAATTGTTGGCGTTTATTCCTTTTTGCATTTTCACTTCCTCTGATTGACAGTTTCAATCTCATTCTGAGGAGCCTGTTTGCTGAAACACTGAACATTAATAACACACGTTCTGTTATCCATTTTCAGTCCTACTCTATGAACCAGAAAATCCTGAGGCCAAGGAGTTTTTCTCGCTTATTGAAGAAATGTTGCTGATGGGTAAATTTAAAAATCGAAATTCCTTCTTTCTCATAGAACTGTGAGCAGTCTCTATTTAAAAACCCGTTATCCCAGGAGACTGACAAAATACATCTTCAGGAAGTAGTTAAAAAAGGCTAAATGGTTGCTTTGGGTGGTTTAATGAAACCAGCTTGTCCTCAGTTGATGGTCAAGATGGCTCCCTTTTCTCTGTTGGGTGGAACTCCCCAAACAAAGCAGGCTTCCTGGGCACAGGTATCGCACCTGACGGTCCTCAGAGAGAACAGAACATGCTAATTGCCCCATGCATTACAGGGACTATCCCACAATTCCAAGGAAAGCCAGTACCCTCTAAATTACTCTAAAGCTCATTTACTCTTACTCTATTTAAGTAAGAATTATGTGGACAATCGTAAAAATATTTTTATACACCAGTTTTAAATATGCTTTAAATCCACAAACATCTTTATGCTAGTAAGAATATATTCTTCTTTGTGCTACTCTTGTAACCCTACCTACAGTTAGCAAAGTTCAGCTCAGTTCTCACATTCCAAATATATGAATTTCTTAGTGGAGGGAAAAGCAAGGAAAATTATGATTTTTCAAAGGGTGGAAATATTAAGAAACGTTTTAAGAAATTCTCTCCCTTTCTGTGGCAGAGGAAGCTCAAAACCTTGAGGAAGATGACCAAGACAGTGATGAAGACAGTAGCAGTGAGAGTAATGGAGAAAGTGAGGCACTAAGTGAAGAAAGCTCCGATGAATGTGAAGATGGGTGAAACTACTGTGGTTTAATCTTCATGTAGTTTTATTACTGGAAATAAAAAAGAGAGCTGCATTTTCATCTAATTCGTCTTTATTTGGTGCAGAGTTCTTTTAGTCATGTTATTATAGTTTGAGTTCCTTAATATTTAAATCTTAGCTTAATGTGAGTTACTCAGAGAGGAAAATAGTAATTGAAGACACTTACAGAGCACTCTGTGCCAGGTACTGTTCTACACACATTAATTTATTTAACCCAACAAACCCATGAGGTAAGCACTATTGTTGTCCCCATTCAACAGAAGAGAAAACTGAAGCACAGGGAGGGTGGGTAGTTTGCTCAACATCACAGACCTATTGATGGACAGAGCCTGGGTTTGTACATGGGCATATGGCTTTAGAATCCATACTCTTAGCCCCTCCCAGGAGCACCTCTTCAGGTACTTTTATATCCCTTGTTTTATGCTCTTTATAGCATATATCAGTATCTGACATTCTTATTTAATTACTTGCTCTTTTTGTCTTCTCCCTCCCTGTCAGAAAATGTAAACTTCAAGAAGTAGGACTTTGTCTTTTTCACTATTATATCCCTAGCAACTTGACAAGTGCCTGGCAAATATGTAATGGAGTGTATATATGTGAATGAAGTGAAAATTAATGAAAATGTTTACATTCTTTCGTGAAATATTTATGTATATGACTTTATTACACTTTTGATGTATAAATCTACATTATTTTGCAGATTCTGTATTCCTTGATGAATTTCTGCCACCTTCAGATTAAGTTGTAAGGTAACTGAGATAAAAATGAGAAAAATATTTCTAAGTAATTTGTTTTTGAATGTGCCAGTATGATTTGGGGATAGGCATTTTAAATTTTTATTCTTATTTTAGCACAGTATCATGTTCTATCCAAAATGTTTGCAGCATCGTGTATTTTGGGGGCATTTTGTAGTCTGCTAGCATTCAGAGGAAGAAATTCTGTACCGTTTCATAGGAGTGACTAAAAGAAATGAAGACAGGTATGTATAATCCTCTAGTTACATCAGCAGTCAGATAACACTGGAGGGCTGGCTGACACAGACCACATGAATGGCTTGTTCTTTTTATTTGTGTGTGTGTGTTGGAGGGAAGGGGAGGCGGGGGTGGTGGGTGATTATTCCTCCCACCATAGGAAAACCACCATATACCAGTCTGATGACGATATCACAGATCACAGGTCATGTTATATAGCTAACTCTAAGAATGGTCAAGGTTTGCTCATTCATCCATCATTCAGAGGATGCTCAGTACCTCTGTCTTCCTGTTCGTCATCCTATTTGCTCTCCTTGATCAGTGTAACTTAGGGTGTTGGCATAATCTGATAGGCATGTGTGTCTGTGTGTAGCAATAATAGCTAAAAAATAATCTGCAAAGTATTATTTTATTATTTAACCCACTGGCGTCTCACAACCGTTCTAAGAGCATGCTATTAGTATCCCTGTAAGTTACACGAATTTAATTTGGGGTGCTTGTAGATATCCAAGGGTAAACTGGAATTCAGATGAGGAAATGAAGCCTTGGAGATGCTGCTGGGTTATGCCCTAGTATGAGAGAGCTAGTGATTGCAGCTTTCCATGCTGCTTCACCCAGAGCTAACCTCTAGAACCTATTTCATGACTCAGCAAACAAGTTGTATCTATGTAGACAGGTATGTTCCAGACCTGTGCCTTCTTTGAAACTTTATAACATGTTACAATGGTATGAAAGTACCCAAATATTCAGCAACATTGGAATCCCACTTAATGAACTTAAGATGGGAACCCACTGAAACAGTGTCATTTATTCAATAAATATTTACTGAAGGCCTACTAGGTTTATAGTATCGGGAACAAAACCCAGTCCCTGCTCTTAAATAACACTTTCAAAGTTCAACTAGAAGGGGGTAAGCACAAGAGGCCCCTAACCCGACCAGGCATCCAGAGGGAAGGGAGGTCTGAGCTGAGAGGCAGAATGAGTGGCACTTAGCTACAAGAAGAGAATGTGGGGAAGAGGGTTCTGTTAGATACATTCTGAGTCCAGAAAGTAAGTAGGTAAGATTGGATTGCAAAATGAAAATGAGCCAGTTAGAGTAGAGACGAATGAAGCTACAGTGATAAAGGGGCGGGAGAGTGAAGGATAATATATAGGCCATATTAAAGTTTTAACTTTATCCTTAGAGTAGTGGGAGATCGTTGAAGGATTTTGAGCAAAATAATGATTGTATTTTAGAAAGAGCATTCTAGTAGCCAGGTAGAAAAATGTTTTCTCGAGCTATAGGTCATGATCCATTGGTCAGTTATGAAATCATTATAGTAAGTCACAAGTAGATGGGGTTTTTTTTAAATTAAATTACATAGACTAAAAAATAGCACATATTGCAAAAGAGAATGGGAATTATGGTTTTGTGAAACTTGTGTGTGTGTGTGTGTGTGTGTGTGTCCATGTCCGTCCCTCCTAGATCTTGATATGAGATGTATTTCTTCCTATGGATCCCAATTTTAAAAATGTATATGTATATATACATACATGTATCTGAAAGTATAGAGAACAGACTTACAGTGGAATACAAAACTCCACTGTTACATAATAATTCTAGAAGTTCAAACTTGTAGCCTAGAAAGAGGCAATAGCAGAGAGATGCAATGGAATGGAGGGGTTATTTTAGAGGCAGAGAGACCTGACAGGAATTGGTGATGAATTAAATAGGGGGGAGAGTTGGAGGTCAAGAATGACTCCCAGTTGGATAACTGGATGTATGATGGTGCTACCCCCTAAAAAAATCGGAACACAGAAAGATTTGCCGGAGATGTTGGCAGTTAACTTTCACAAGTTGATTATGGAAAGTATTTTCGTTTTCTATGACTGCTGTAACAAATGACAACAAACTTGGTGACTTAAAACAATACAAATTTATTATCTTACTGTTTCAGAGGTTAGAAATCCAAAATGGGTCTCATTCGGCCAAAATCAAGGTGTCAGCAAGGCTGCATTCTTTCCGAAGGGTCTAGGAAAGAATCTGCTTCCTTGTCTTTTCCAGCTTCTGGATCCCGCCTGCATTCCTTGGCCCCATTCCTCCATCTTCAAAACCAGCAGGGTCTGGGCTGGCCGAGTGGCTCAGTTGGTTAAGAGCTCGCTCAAGAGTGTGAGTTCTGAGCAACAGCAGTTCGATTCCCAGCCCGAGCTGAGCTGCTGCTGAGCTGCTAACAAGTGGCAGGATAGCTCAGCTAAAACAAACAAAAAAACCAGCAGCGTCTGACTGAGACAGTCTCACATTGCAGTCTCTCCAGTTCTCTGTCCCCTGTGATTGTGATTTTTGTCAAATTAACATGTGTTAAGTAGAACCCTGGGATGTCAGATGGTGGGTGAGCCATGGTTGAACAGAGACCCCAAGGGGAAGTGAAATAGAGAAGTTTATTACTCACAGGTCCTGGAGGAGGTACACCTTATGCCTGGGAAGGACAAGGCGCAGGCAGAGAGTGGGCAGCAGGACCTGGGGTACATGTCTTTATTAGGGTCCACAAGTAGAATACTTTTGGGTTCCCAGGCTAAAGCCAGATTGGTCAATTTAAACCAAAAGATCAAGGTTGAGGTAAGCCTTGTGAGGGTCTTATCTAAGGGGTACACAGGGAAATAGTTGTAAAGCAGGAGAGATAGTGTATCTTCATCTCTAATAAAAATTATGCTAAAAGTCTTTCCATAGAAAGCATTATTTGAAAAGGATCATTCTGTAAAGATGATAGATTTCAGTTCCCTGTCTAGCATCGGACAATGTGTTAGGAGGAAAATGTCTTCCCCATCGTAACAGGCACCAAATTCAGTTTCTTCCTGTTGGTATCAGAAGTCAACCAAAGGTGAGGCAGAATACTTAGATCAACAGACAACATTGTCATGGTAAAGCTACGTTTTCTTAACTTACAACCCACCAATGAAAGAAAATAAGAGGACAAATACTGAAAATCATATATGCTAAATAGAATTAAAAGAATAGTTTAAGAAAGCTGTCTTCAACTAAAACTTGCTAACTGGCTGCTTCCATTAGGCTAATTGAGGTCTCCTAGAGACTGATTTTTGGGGACTTACTGCCTTCTCTTTTTTTATCTGAATTCAGGTGTAGAAAATAAATTGATGCAAAATGACTGCCCACACTCATTCTGCAGTGGCCAGGTGCCTTCCAGATGGCCAGCTGAAGAGTTTAGGAATATATATCTATTCAGCTGCACAAAATAAAACCCAGCAAAACATGCATTGGGTGGTTATAGTGTTCCAGGAACCATTCTTTACTGGGAATACATTGGTTTAAAAAAAAAAATTCACGCCCTCATGAAGTTCAGATTTTAATGGGAAGAAAAGCAATAAGTAAGTATACAATAGATCAAGTGAGGTAAAAAGTGTAATAGGAAAAGATGGAAGGGATAGGGAGTACTGTGAGAGGGGGAGAATTACAATTTTAGATAGAAGAATAAAGCAAGGTCTCACTGAGAAAATAACATTTGAACATTTGAGCAAAGACCAGAATGAGGAGGAACAAATCCTACAGATACTGGAGAGAAGAGCTTCCCCTACTCCCACCCCCCAACCCCCTCAAGGAGAGGAACAGTAATTGCAAAGTTGCTGCAGAGGGAGCATGCCTAGAATGTTCAAGAAACAGCAAGAAGACCAGTGTCACTGGGGTAGAATGAGGACTTTGTCACAAAACTGGCTCCCTTTTCACCCCTTCTCGGGTGAGTCTGAATATTCCATCAGAAAGCTTTCCCCTCTAGGAATCAAAACTTCTTGGTGGGTTAAAAAGCCTAACTCACTAAAGGGGAGGGCCTCATATCTGTGTCAGGGGATGATCAAGCTCTGCTGAAACAAATGGGCAACAAAAGAAAACACACGTTAGGCTTCGCTTATACACCCAAGGAGAAAACACTTAAATGGATCAAAATCATTGTTGAACTGAGGAGGAAAGCATCATAAACCAGGCACAGCTGAACTTGCTAACATGAGTTTTATGGGCACTGCATAAGATAGCCCACGAAGTTGAACTAGCCCCCATTTTACTGATG